GAAAGACTGTAGGTCAGAATTTGCAGTCCCAAGATTCCCCAAAAGTTAAGTGGGCATTCTCTGCCAAAACCCTACCCAAAAGCTTGTCCCAGAGTTCAGTTAGCTCTGATTCAGCTGAGAGAAGGCCGCTTACCGGAGTCTTTCTGTTGCCGTCAGAGTCAATAGCCCCAAGGCCAGATGGAACATGGAGGTGTCACGGGCCATTTAGTCACTGCTTCCTCAGGAGAAAGCCAATTACTCAAGGTAGTTACGAAGATTCAGAGATGTCTTCACACGTTCTGCTCTCAAGTAGCCCGACTTCATCTAGTCACAAGGGGAAAACAGTCCAGAAAGCAGGCCACAAGGCTGAATGGACTGATACATCTATGAACAAGATGAGTCTCAAAGACAGACTCGCTCATGTTCACTCAATGAAGGGAAAAACATACAGCCTCCATACAGGGTTTGCACTTGCACGGAAGGATGCCTTAGAGATGATTAGCGTGTTGCACTGCAGTGTCAGACACAGGTCAAGAGGTGACATACCTGAGGTGGGTGAGACGGACATGGAGACGCTGACCCAGCTTCTGCTGCTGCAGGCCAAAGTGCTGAACAGTGCCTGCACTCAGATGTCCACAGAGTACAGCAGTCCAGAGGAGCTACTGCTCACTCTGACGCACAGCTTCCACACATTGTGCTGCTTAGCTCAAGCCTGCATGTCTCTAGCGGAGGTCCTGAACACCGAAAGTGAACGCAAGGAGGTGGTGGCCAAGGTGGAGGAGGTCATCATGAACTACGTGTGTCTGCTAAAAGCTGCTGAGGGAGCTGCAGGAGGTCCTCCCTGTGACCAAAGTGTGAACGCATTGATACATTACTCTGCCACCATGTCTGTTGTTATAAACACGCTAACTATCTCACTAAATTCACTGCTCAACAAAAAAGCTGTCGCTGTGTTCTGATTGTTGATTTTTAAGCCATACATAAGAGATGTCGGTTTACCAACCAATGTGAACTGCTGTGAAGAAAATTTTGCCTTGTGTACACAATATTTTAATATCTACAGAAAAAATTTAAATATATCAAATAAAGTTTTAAAGAGACTATATCCAGACCCTAATGAAGAGAATAATGACCCTTCCCTCGAGTATATTATAAATATTAGGTAAGGATTATTTTAATGATATATTGATTTCATTAGAAGATTAAGATATAAATTATTACAACCTGAAAAGCACCTTCTTTTTAACTGTATAAATATGTATTGTGTTGGAGAAATGCATACACTATATTTAGACAATTCATTGCACAGGACAAGAAGTTACAAAGTTAAAGAAATACATAAAAATTATTTGCTGACTCACTTGATTTATTGACTATTTTACACATGAATACTGAATACTTTCCTGTATTTTTCTCAACATCATTAAAAAAATTAAAACTTTTAAAAGCTTTCTCTCAAATAATTATAGTTTATTTATGCTGTATACCACATGCTGTCCTTTTTTGTCTGGCTATATTTGTCCTTAACGCAGTCATTTCTGACATTTTTTGCAGTCGTCTTTCATTATTCAGTGAAACCTGAATGATGAAACCTTGTATTTCAAACTGCATTCTCAGTGAGGAAAGGTTTTTTAAACTCTAAGTTTAGAAACGCAGTTCAATAATTCACGATTTCTGAATTTGTTCAACCCTGAGTGGTGGTAAACCATTTGCATTAATAATGATCATGTTCTGTTTGATTTTCCATTAGTCTGTTGCAGAGAGAAATGCATGAGAACAGAGAAATAGGTAAACAAGTCGACAGCCATGGGCTTAGTTTTGGAAGATTCAGAACTATATTATTGTTTAAGCTAAACAATAACATTAATATATGTCAACTGTAACAATCTTTTTTTGTCTGGCAGTTGTGTTTTGAATTGAGGCTGTATGATTTATTATTGTTGCTATGCGATGGAAAGCTGCATCCTGCCCCTCGCCGGTTGACTGATTTAGACAGGCAGAAGGGTCCCTCATAACCCTGTAAGGATAAATGTGTTAGATAATAGATGGATGGCATGGATGGTTTATTAGCAGATATCTTAAATGCAATAAATAGCTCTCTTCTGCCACGTCATTTAGCATTAAATCAGATGAATTATTCTCGGATTCTTACAATAACAGCTAGGCTGAAAGGGAATAGCTGATGGTAAACCATCTTTTTAATTTCAAAGCTGTCATAGCAGTTAATGCAAAAGATATTATAATTTGCTATTAATTAAGCTAAAGACTATGTTCAGGTTTGCAATGGACTGTTATTTACAGAGACCACAGTGTTTTTTACACTGATAATGAACGTAAGATATGAAAAGCATACTGAAAAAAGGAACAAGTAAAGCCTTTCTTGTCTTTGGAAAGGTGTGATATAAAAGTAAAGCGGTTTAAGTGAACGCTATTTTTATTATCAATTTTTGGATTACTTTTAGAGGCAATCTTGCCAATATGTTCTTTCCACCATTCTGACACTGCACACATTACATTTGGTTAGTATTGATTTCAAAAACTTAATGTCGAAAACAAGATTTGAAAATGTGTTTTCCTCTGGCTGAATTTATTTTGTTAATTTGATGTTTGTTTTTTTTACTCAGTTTAATGTTTTCTTCAGAAAACCAGAATTTACACGTCACTATATTGTATTTATTTCCATAAACTAATTCAGATGATATGATCAAATAATCACTAAGCTATTTAAATAACCTTTTTTTTTTTACCAAATAGTTTTTTTACACTTGAATCATTTTTGAGATGATTAACATCTCAAAATGACTGAATGTATTATGAAGCAATTTTAGGGCGAAAAACAACTTTGTCTATGAAGGAACTTTTAGATTTTCATTCTTGCATAAATTTTCTGTGAGATTTTCTAGTTCTAGATTTTAACAATAATGTATTTATAAGGCATGTAAATATCAAAGCACTACAAAATGACAAACATTAACCAATGTAAAGAAATAAAAACCCATCTATAATATCAATCAAAAGAGCCACACTGAAGTCAACAAGCTTTGCAGTCTCATTAGAATTTTTTTTTTCTGTGCTTCGATTAAATATTTTTTGTCTTCATCCGTAAAAGACTCTTTTGAACTCTCAACAACTAAGTTTAAACTTAATATGATATATTGAAATATAGCAGTATATGTCAATAACACTCTGGAACCAATATGGATTTATACAAGATACAGATGCCAATTGTTATGTACAGCAGCTAGGATATATCATTTTTGACACTTAAACTTTAAATCTGACTGCATTGGCAAATCTAAAGTTGTAAGTTTAGCGTGGCTCAAGAAGCTGGAGATTTCTACTCTGAGATGGGGGTGAAAATTATTAGAACATTTTAACTGCTCTATTTATTTTAAAAATATAATGCTACATGTATTCCTATCTACAATAATCAGAATACATTTGAAAGCAATGTTTCTTCCTAACATTGGATTTGGCCATCTTATCAGATGCAGAAAAAACATTGGATTTAGCCTAAAATTTATTAAATAAATAAGTGAAAACCACCGATCGTGGATTCTATGATGGTAAACAGTGAGATGTTTCAGTTTTGTCCAGTGGCTGAAGGAATTAATACGTACATTATGTGAACATGTGAGGGTGTAGGTCGTTCAGCCATGAAGCCACAAATGAGCCACAGATGGCCAAAAAAAGATTCTGTGCCATTTACAATGTAAATTTTCAAACCCAAATCCTAACTATCAATTTCACTTTCCACCCATCAACTTTCAGAGAAATGAAACCATTTAGTTATTTAGCTGTGGAGTTGGACCTCTTCTCCACACTATATTTTGTAGTTGGAGAAAATGTCAAAAACTTTATCTCTATATTATAACTAAATTAAATTCTTTCACTCAACATAATATGCCGACAAAACAAAGACAAACACAGTTGCCACAATAAAAAAATGTACAAGAATGACAATTTTGATGTCTGAGGTTTAAAACAATAGGGAAGTGATGCTGTCCAATTATACACGCAATAGGTTTACATAGCCACCTGTTACTTTCATGTTTTTACTTTTGTGCTGACTGCAGTCCAGCTCTTTCAGCATTCTTCTTGTGTTGACAGCAGCAGCAGCAAGCCACATTTGTATACTCCTACCAAAAGATGTTTCTCCTCCTGGTAAGTGAGACATACGTTACTTCTTTTATATTTATGATACATCAGAATTTCATTAAAAATACTATTTGAGTAATTTAACACAAAGTGATATATTTTAAGCATTTCTTTCTGTTAATATTGATTACCATGGCTTTCAGGTGGTCACATCAAATGTGTATAAAACGAGACGTTTTACATACAATCATGTAGAAGCCAGTTGACATAACTAGGTAAAAATTTTATTTTCTAAAGAAGTTGTCAAAGAGCAATGTATCCAAGAATATTTACAGAAAGGTAAATGGAAGGAAAAATTGTGAAAGAAAAAGATTTAAAACCAATAGTTGTAACTGCACCCTTGAAAGGATTGTGAAGAAAAAACTAAGACTCTAGAGGAGACTGGCAAGACATCAAGTGTTTCAGTGGAAGACAAGAAACTTAAGAACCAACAAAGCAAACAAAACAAAGGTGGCTAATAAAGCAAACTGGGTTTTGAGAACACCTCAGCAGAGGCACGAGCTGAAAGCCTCCATCTCATGCAGTATTTATGTCATGCTGGATCCCCGTGTACTGCACAGTACTGGATGGACTTCACAGCAGACTATTATTTCACTGGTTGTTTCTAATCTTTTGTGAGTGAGTATATTTTTGCATCTGTAATCCGTAATCTAAAATAACTGAAACAAATGACTGACAAATATCAGAATCTACATAACAAACTCTATGACCTTAACTATTGAGTTTTCAATGAAAATGTAAATCACTAAAATGCTAAATAATGAAAATGTACCACTTGTGTGTTTTTTACATTGTAAAGTAGAATATGTTAAATTGGACTTATTTGAAATAGTCATGTATATTTAGCACTATGCAAGGTTTTCATAAGGTCACCTGTTTGTGTGCAGATGTGTGGGGCCCTGCTGGGCCTGGGTTGTGGCATTCAAACAAGTACCATCTCCTACCCAAAAACTCTGCCATGCGATGTCAGCGAGGTCAACAATGGGACTGCGGTGAAAGTGGACTGCACTGAAAGAAGTCTCAAGAACGTCCCCTTCGCCATCCCAGGAGAGACTACCAATCTGACTCTCACCATCAACCATATTCCAAATCTGAACTCAACCTCCTTTCACGGTCTGGACAACCTCACAGAGATCGACATGAGGTGCAACTGCGTACCCATCAAAATTGGCCCGAAGGACAACATGTGCAGAAAAAGTGTGACGATTGCGGAGGATACATTTACTGCTCTAAGGAATCTACGGGCACTGTATCTAGATGGGAATCAGCTTGATAGCATTCCTAAAGGCTTGCCTTCAAACCTTGTCCTTCTGAGTTTAGAAGTGAATCATATTTTTTATATTTCTAAGAAAAATCTTTCTGAAATCCAAAATGTTCAGGTGCTCTACCTGGGACAAAACTGCTATTATCGCAACCCCTGCAATGTTTCCTATGGCATAGAAGATGGTGCATTCTTAAAATTGGAAAACTTAACATTGCTGTCCCTTAAGTCAAACAACTTGTCTTTTATTCCCTATAGGTTGCCTGTAAGTTTAAGACAGCTGTATCTATACAATAACAACATCCAAGAGGTCTCTGATGAGGATTTTAAAAACTTGACAAACCTCGAGATTTTAGATATTAGTGGAAATTGTCCTCGATGCTACAATTCCCCTTTCCCATGCACCCCATGCCAAAATAACGCACCCCTAAAAATAAGCAAGGGAGCTTTTAAAATGCTGACAAAACTAAAAACGTTACGTTTGCACAGTAACTCTCTGACATGTGTATTACCTGAATGGTTCACTAACACAAAGGATCTTCGAGTACTTGATCTCTCATCAAACTTTTTAGCCAGAGATATCGGGTCCACAAACTTTCCTAAGTTTCTTGGCAAGCTAGAAGAACTGGACTTGTCTTTTAACTATGAGCTCCAGAGGTATCCTCAAACTCTTAGACTGAACTCCAGTTTCTCCTCCCTCATGTCTCTTGAAATTCTCAGAATAAAGGGTTATGTGTTTCAGCAACTAAAGCCAGAAAGCATTGCTCCCTTAAAACGTCTTCCAAATCTGACAGTTCTAGACCTCGGCACAAACTTTATCAAAATGGCAAACCTCAGCATTTTAATGGAGCTAAAAAGCTTTCATATAATCAGTTTGTCTGACAATAAAATATCATCTCCCTCTGATGCTCAAAATGCATTTAGTTTCAACGGGGGAGAGGCTATGCTGTGGTCCCCCATGTCAGCAGCTGATCAGCTCCAGAACAAGGAAGTGAGAGAGATTCATTACTTCAGATATGATGAATATGCTCGCAGCTGCAAATACAAAGATAAGGAACTTGGAATAGTTACATTATTTGTCAAGAAGGAATGCAGCGACTTTGGCAAAACCTTGGATGTGAGCAGAAACAACATATTTTTCTTGCATTCAAGGTTTTTAAACCTGAAGGAATTGCGGTGCCTCAATCTTTCAGGAAACGCAATGAGCCAAAGCCTGAATGGATCAGAGTTTAGCAATCTGACTAATTTACAGTACCTGGACTTCTCATCAAATCGCCTGGACCTGTTGTACTCAACTGCTTTTAAAGAGTTAAGCAATCTGGTCATCTTGGATATAAGTAAAAACAACCATTATTTTGAATCAGAGGGCTTGACTCATATGCTTAATTTCACTAAGTATTTAAAAAAACTCAAGGTACTGCTAATGAATCACAACAAGATTTCTACTTCCACCAACACAGAAATGGAAAGTGAATCTTTAGAGAAATTGGAGTTCAGAGGCAACAGGTTGGATTTGCTGTGGAGAGACGGGGACACAAGATACATTCACTACTTCAAAAAATTACGTAATCTGAGAGTTCTAGACATTTCTTCCAATAACCTTCGTTCAGTTCGAAGAGAAGTCTTCAGTGGTCTGCCAGACAACCTGACTGAGCTCTATGTTAAAAAGAACAAACTGTACTTTTTTGCATGGGGGGAATTACAACTTCTGAGATCTCTGAAAGTCTTGGACCTCAGTGGAAATTGCCTAAACTCTGTTCCAAGAATGCTGTCAAACTGTACCACATCTCTTAAAAAACTTGTTTTACATGACAACCAGATCGTAAAACTCACACCAAATTTCCTCCAGGAAGCTTTTAGTTTAAAATATCTAGATCTTAGCTTCAATCGTATCAAGCACATTGAGCAATCTAGCTTTCCAGATAATGTTGTTGAGAAGATGGAACAGTTGCTTCTGCACAAAAACAATTTCCTTTGCACCTGTAATGCCTCTTGGTTCATCACTTGGCTAAACAAGACCACGGTTACCATCCCTCGATTAGGAATCGACGTTACCTGTGCTTCTCCAGGAGTGCAAAAGGGTAATCTTGTGGTCTCAGTGGACTTACAAGCCTGCCAGCACTCCTTCCTATCGATTATCCTCTACACTCTCATGACTTCACTACTCTTTAGCTTCATTACTCTGTCCATCGCAAGTCACCTCTACATGTGGGACGTCTGGTACATTTATCACTTCTGCAAGGCTAAACTCAAGGGCTACAGCCGCCTGTCTTCTCAAAGTGAGGTCTATGATGCCTTTGTGATGTTTGACAAAAACGATTCTGCTGTGTCAGACTGGGTGATGAAGGAAATGTGTCCTCATCTGGAGGAGCGGGGAGATCGCCGATTGACACTGTGTCTGGAGGAACGAGACTGGGTCCCCGGTTGTCCCCTGATTGACAACCTCTCCCAGAGCATCCACAAGAGCAAGAGGACTGTGTTCATTCTCACCAAAAAATACATGCAAGGGGGTAATTTCAGTACAGCCTTCTATATGGCCCATCAAAGACTGATGGATGAGAAAAATGACGTCATAGTACTGATTTTTTTGGAAAAAGTATCTTGCAACTCAAAATATCTGCGCTTAAGAAAGCGACTGTACAAGCGGTCTGTGCTCGAGTGGCCAACAAACCCACAGGCACAACCATACTTCTGGTTCACCCTCAGGAGTGTATTGGCTACCGAGAGCCACAAACAGTACAGCAATCTCTTCAAAGAGACACTCTGAAGGGATGACAATGTAGAGTTTGCCAAAAATAAGACAATTTATGTTTTATCAGTTATTTCTTCTCTGCAACAATGCTCCTTGGCAATAATTTTTAAAGTTATACAGTTACAATTACAATCATATTCTCTAGCAATTTACAATGCCTTTCTGCTGTTGACTCTTGTTTGGTGTCATTTTTTTTTTTTTTTGGACTGAATAATAGAAGTTTGAAGAAACAAAAGATATCAGGAATTTAGTCATTTTTCCTTTGGCAAATCAATGTTTCAGGAATGCACTGGAAAGCTATTCACAGCTACAACAGCCTGGTATGTTGCCCTCATGCTCATCGCCAGCTTGGTCACATTTTATTTTGGCATTCCTTTCTTCAACCAGCACTTGTCACAAGTCAGTAAAAGGTGGTTGCACTGAACATAACATAAATAACATAATGAATTAGTATAAATAAAATGTATTCCTATATGTAGAAATGTTCATGGTTTTGACAATATTATTTTGGATTAGACACTGTCTGATGTAAAGTTCAACTCCAATGGTTTGAAAAGTAAAAATAAAGAAATAATCTGTGTTTCAAGTGTTTAAACCATTCTTAGCTTTTAAGAGCTTTTAAATAATACATGTGTTTTTCCAAAACTAAATTGCCAATGGCATTCTGGGAGACAGTATTAATTTGTTCCTACAGGAGGCTGTGTAGGGGATTGTCATCATGCTTTTTACTTCCCAAGGTCAGGAAAATTTGACAACACATCACCAAAAATGTCATTTCTTTTTAAAGTTAAATGTCACTTGACGGGTAGAGATATGGTTCTCAAAAAAGCTGAAACATTTGCTCCTTTCATTTAACGTTTTACTGGGAAGGCTAAATTTCTGTGATACCTCCCAAGGCTTGAAGTGCTTGACTTTTCCTACAACTATGGTTTAAAAATGTATCTCAAAACCATTAATCTTTCAATTGAGTTTTTGAATCTTGATTCATTAAAAAAGTAACATTTGAGGGCTTAATTTTATAGAATTTTGGTCCCAACAAACTTAAGCCTCTCTATAAACTTAGAAAACTCTCTGCTTTGAATTTGGGGACTAACTTTATAGTTCACATTGATCCAGCTGTATTCAGAAAACTTGAATTCTTAAAAGTTATCTATCTGTCAGAAAATAGGCTGTTTCCCACACCTCAAAAACAGTTTTCAATTTTAGTAGGGTGATACCTACTGGTCAGGCATCTCTATGTCTTCATACATAAAACCTCTATGTCTTCATACATAAAACCTCCTTCAAAACATTTGATCTTTGAGTTTACTCCTTATAAAGGAACAGTGCTTTAACTCTGGACAGGTTCTTGTCCTCAGTTCAAATAACTTGTTCTTCATTTCACAAAAGCAATTTGAAGGTTATGGAGATATTGCGTGTCTGAATCTAATGGCATAGAGTTCTCTTTACTGCCTATTTTGACTAACTTGGACCTGTCCTTCAATAAGATTGATCTGGCTTATGACAATGCCTTCCAGGAACTGAAGAAACTCAAAGTGCTAAAATGTCCACATCTTTAAATATTTTGGAGTAACACATAATTTAAACTTCCTAAAAATTTTTTAAAACAAAGTAGATGCACAGCAGATCTTTAGCAATTTAGAAAAATGTTTATGACATCTTTGTGACCTATGACACCAAGGATCCACATGTCTCTGAGTGGGTAATGATGAATCTGCGGGTGAAATTGGAAGAGGAAGGCGATAAACTTCTTCCTTTGTGCTTGGAGGAGAGAGACTGGCCTCCAGGAGTCCAACTAGTGGACAACCTTGCACAGAGCATCCAAAACAGTCGCAAAACCCTGTTTGTCTTGACAGAGGGCTACGTTAAGACTGGCAATGTATCTGGCCCACCAGAGACTGCTGGATGAAAATATGGATGTGATCGTTCTGCTGATGCTCGAACCTGTCCTCCAACATTCTCACTTCCTGCGCCTGAGGAGGAGACTTTGTGAGAAAAGTGTTGTGGAGTGGCCCAGAACCGCAGCTGCTGAGCCCTGGTTCTGGCAGAACCTTAAAAATGTTTTAAGAGTTGATAATCATGCTATATCCAATAAGACATATACAAAAATCTTAAGCACAGAGTAAGAAGGAAGACAAAGTGACAGACTGCTGCTTCCCAAGTGCCGGACCAATAGATTCAAGAACTCCTTTGTCCCCCACTCCTTCAGACTGTACAACTCCTCATTTGGGGGTGGGAGGTGACACAGGACAGAGGGAAGGAGTAGTGACCCCTTGTACTTTTCTGGAAATATTCACACTTATCAGGCCAAACCATATAGTGCAATATCATATCACTGGTCAATCTATCCACCAAATTGCTATATTTTCCTTTTGTGTTGTATTTATATTCTTTGTTTTGTATTTATATTCTTATTACATTTACTGTGTACCTTGTATTTAATTTGTATTTTTTTGTGTATACTTACTGTGTGCCACTTTTTCGCCTGTGAGCTGCTGGTAACTTTAATTTCCTGAGGGAGTCTTCCCAAGGGATCAATAAAGCACAAGTCTAAGTCTCTAAGTCTAAGTCTAAAACTGTTGATGACAATCTAGTAAATATTAATGAGCAGTGATATTTGTTGGACTTTGACAAATACATGTGTTGTTTTATTGTCAATCAATAAGGGGCTTCATGATTTCACAATTTTTATTATCCTGCAGCTAGAAGTTTCAAGTGTTTTTTTTATGTATGTTTCCACAAATTGAATCATTTGTCTCATTTTGTGAAACACTTTTCAAAATGTAAAGGTATTTGCTTTAATGTTTTCTATGTGCATCTCTGTAAAGAGCTTCATAATGTTTTGCCAGGTTTTACATCCCTTGACAGCACATTGTCCCCGCTGTCATACCATCTTCCTTGTGTGGCTCCGCCTTATTGGGTCAACACATTAGCCATGGTCAGAAGCGTTGAAAACAGTTTCAAAGCTCGTCACCTCAACACCATGTCGTAAGATGCAAAATGTTTCGGTCCAGCCAGGAGTGTTTTCTCTAAGGGGATAACTTTTCTTGTTTTCTAAAGAACAAACTTCTGATAGAAAACAAAGAAGCTTTGATTCATTCAAGCATGATGCTGTCTCCTCTGAGCAGATACTCATTTTAGCTTTCATCTGTGTGATCTTTAGCTTACCATGAACTTTAGTGAGTGAAACAATTTGTCAGATGAGACTCACCAACATCAGGTAAGGATGCTTACAGTTTTTACACTGATTTTACTTATCGAAGCTGAGGTCATTTAAACAATAAATAATGACTAAAAACCCATAGGATGTGTTCACTCTCGCCCTGTTTGGCCCACTTTAATCCGACTCTAATTTGTTTGTCTAGAAAGTCAAGATCTTTTAGGGAATGTAAACGCAAATGTGAATTTCAAAACAGTGTAAAACGGCGTCCAACGGTCCAACAGAAAGGGTTAGTTCTGCATAAAGAAACCACAATACATACACATTAATCGTTCTGTCATAATAATAGCTCTGTATGCACTTCCCTGAATGGTTATGGTTGTCTAATTGTCTGCAATGCTACGGAACTGATTTATAGTTTTTGCGAAACACTTCTGATGTTGATTTTGGCTGGTGTCTCTGTAAAACTGCAAACAAGGAAACGAAACTGTTTTACAGTTACTTCTGCAATTGACAGGCTACACTCCTCCCACATCCTGTCATAATGGGTGAAACAGTTTGCCGCTTTTATATCTGACTTCAGTACGCAGGATTACTTTTTTCATAACATGCGGATTTTAAAAAATCATCAGTAGTATAAAAATATGTCTTATTCTCACATTATAGATACCATTTAAACTTTTTTTAGACAAATGCAAGAAGCAGTTTAGAAGTTTTAAAGGAACATGCAAAATGGTGAGTTTTACTAATACATTTGTCTATATCACTTATGTTTGTGACAGAAAAATGTGTCATACATGTTAATGATACTGTTTTTGTGTTAATTCTTAATTGCTTACAAGAGTCAAGTCAAGAGTAAGAAATGAAACTGTTCTTATCTTTTATTGCTAAGTATTTTGCCTTTTAGAGTGTTTGCTCTAGAACAAATGTAGCACATATAAACTGAGACATAAAGAAGTTTTCAAAGTTGACATTTTAGGGCTTTTGGGAATCAACATTTAGTGGCTGGGTCATATCAAGCAAGCAGGAAACATACTTGGTTTAAAACAAGTTTGGCAAGTCAAAGAAATTAGCCACAATTATGAATTGTGGTCAATTTTAGTTTTTGTAAATATTTGATTTTACTTGACTTAAATGTGTTAGTCCATAGTGCTCGTATTTTAGTGTCCAAGGATGCTTACAGTTTTTACACTGATTTTACTTATCTAAGCTGAGGTCATTTAAACAATAAATAATGACTAAAAACCCATAGGATGTGTTCACTCTCGCCCTGTTTAGCCCACTTTAATCCGACTCTAATTTGTTTGTCTAGGAAGTCAAGATCTTTTAGGGAATGTAAACGCAAATGTGAATTTCAAAACAGTTTAAAACGGCGATCCTGAACCTCTATAATTGTCCGGCTGAAGTGAATTCTGATGCAGTTCAAAGGCAATGTGAATGCAAGCGGATCGGGGACCGCTCCAAAAGCAGGAAGCTAATTGCAGTTCAGTGAAATCTGATAAATATAAAACCCTCTGAACTGTAGGTTAATGGGGATGTTGTGTCGGTTGCCGTGGTAACAGGTCTGCGTGCCATCACAGAGAGTGAGGAAAAGCAGAAAACCTAATGCACACAGGTTTAAACTGACGCTATGTTGACGTTCATTGTATATTTATGGACGGCTCGGAAAAATGTGTCCTTATTTATTGATATGTACCTATGTAGTTTATTTCTCACTACTACTGAAAAGAGTGGAAATAAATAAAAACTGGAAAGTTCATTACAACAGGAGTCTATCTCTTCAGCTTAACATATTGCATAAAGGCATCATAACATTCTTTAATTCCACCATTTGATTGACTTTGTCATTCATTTCAGACTGCAAAGTGTTGGATTTACCTGCTTCTCCTTGGTCTGTGCTGCCATCTGGAGATCCAGCCTGCTGCCTGTAAACCTCACTGGACAGCACAGTTTCTCTGTGATGTGACAACCTCCAATTCCTCTGAGGTCCAATTTGACTGCAGTGGCCGTGCCCTGGAATGGGTACCTCATGGGATAACCAGTAATGTCACTGCTCTTGATTTATCAAAGAATTACCTGAAGATCATTAAGGCTGATACATTTTCCAAGCTGCTGAATCTGACTAGGCTCAATCTCAACTTGGCAAACATGGACAAGAAAGTGGACTTTAAGGCAAGCCTTAGAAACCTAACAAAACTGCAAGATTTGAAGATGAGTGGCAATGGCCTCAAAGAAATTCCAAGTAATCTACCCGTCAGTGTGGAAATCCTTGAGCTCAGCAGCAACAACATCACAAATGTGAATCATACGAGCTTCGCCAGCTTACCAAACCTGACACAACTGTGGTTATCCAAGAACTGTTACTACTGGAATCCGTGTGGCAAACCTGTGAAAATCCAAAATAACAGTTTTACCCACATGACCAAATTAAAAAATCTGGATTTGTCTTATAACAACTTAAGTAATGTTCCCAAAGGACTACCCCAGTCTTTAGAAACGCTTAATGTGAGTTGCAACAAAATACAGCACATATTAAGCGATGATTTTTCTGGCTTGAGTAATTTAAAACTTCTTAAGATACAAGGGAACTGCCCCAGATGTGAAAATGCTCCATTTCCCTGTGTGCCTTGCCCTAACGGTTCCCTTTTAATTGACCAAGATGCATTTGAAAATCTGTCTGAACTTGAGGAAATCAATATGGGGGGAAACTCCCTGGAGTATCTGAATCCATCGTGGTTTAAGAACCTGAAGAAGCTTAAACATCTTCTCCTTTCATTTAACTTTTTAATCAGAGAAGTTACTGGAAAGGCTGAATTTCTGCTATACCTCCCAAGGCTTGAAGTGCTTGAATTTTCTTTCAACTACGCTTTAAAACGTTATCCTGAAACCATTATTCTTTCAACTGAGTTTTCAAAACTTCAGTCATTGAGGACCTTGCATATGGAGGGTTTGGTCTTCCAGAATATTAAACCGGACACGCTCAAGCCGCTCTATGAAATTAGAAACCTATCTGCTTTGAATTTGGGGACTAATTTTATTATTCAGGCTGATTCCGCTGTTTTCAACAAATTTCATCCATTGAAAATGATTTATTTGGCAGAAAACAGGCTGTATCCCACTCCACAGAAACAGTTTTCAAATTCAGTAGAGAGATATGTTGAAAGGTCAGACATCTCTGTTTCTTCATATGTTAAATTTGTTCCCAAAGAATTCACCTTTGAATTAACCCATGGCCTTATAAAGGAACAGTGCTTTAACTCTGGACGGGTTCTTGTCCTCAGTTCAAATAACTTGTTCTTCATTTCACAAAAGCAATTTGAAGGTTATGGAGATATTGCGTGTCTGAATCTATCTAGCAATGGATTCTCTGCTGCACTAAATGGCACAGAGTTCTCTTTACTGCCTAATTTGACCTACTTGGACCTGTCCTTCAATAAGATTGATCTGGCTTATGACAATGCCTTCCAGGAACTGAAGAAACTCAAAGTGCTAGACCTCAGTTGGAATGCCCACTATTTTAAATCTTTTGGAGTAACACATAATTTAAACTTCCTAAAAAATTTGCCTGTCCTGAGAGTGCTGAATATGAGTCATAACTCAATTTCCACTTTAACAACAAAACAGCTGCGCAGCAAATCTTTAGCAGAACTACAATTTACACATAACAAACTTGGAACTCTTTGGAAAGCAGGTGAAGACTCATATAAGACTCTTTTTACCAACCTCACTAATTTGACAGTTTTAGATATTTCATGGAATGAAATTGAAAAAATTCCCGATGATGTTTATGAAAAGCTCCCTCGCAACCTGACTGAACTACGAATAAGTAATAACAAAATGAGAGATTTTTCATGGGACAGTCTGAATTATTTCCATCGGCTTAAAATTTTAGACTTAAGTTACAATTTGTTGTCTGACATATCAGGTATTAAAACCGTTACTAGTTTCTCTTTGGCTATTCTTTATCTGACTCACAATCAGATATGTCACCTGGAAAGTTTCTTTTTCAATGGCATGAAAAGCCTCGAGACTCTGAGCCTCAGCTCCAACAAGCTGGCTATCATAAATCAATCCACCTTCGAGCCCAGACCGCAGAACCTGAAGACTTTATTTTTACAGAAAAATCCATTTCAATGTACATGTGATTCTTTGGAGTTCCTTGTCTGGATTGGAAAACGACAAATAAGGATTCCCAAATTAACATCTGAGGTGAGATGTGAAATGCCTTTAAAGGACAGGAACAAGCCACTTATATACTTTGACATTGATCAATGTGTCAATGATGATATGGCATTCAAGATGTACGTTCTCACAACAATCTTTCTTATTTTTTTTATGTTTGTGGCAACAGTTGCTCGCTTATTTTACTGGGATGCATCTTATGTCTTGCACTACGTCAAGGCTAAGCTAAAGGGGTACAGAGTCTTGTCCTCACAGGAAAATATTTACGACATCTTTGTGACTTATGACACCAAGGATCCGCGTGTCTCTGAGTGGGTAATGATGAATCTGCGGGTGAAATTGGAAGAGGAGGGCGATAAACTTCTTCCTTTGTGCTTGGAGGAGAGAGACTGGCCTCCAGGAGTCCCACTAGTGGACAACCTTACACAGAGCATCCAAAACAGTCGCAAAACCCTGTTTGTCTTGACAGAGGGCTACGTTAAGACTGGGGTGTTCAGACTGGCAATGTATCTGGCCCACCAGAGACTGCTGGATGAAAATATGGATGTGATTGTTCTGCTGATGCTCGAACCTGTCCTCCAACATTCTCACTTCCTGCGCCTGAGGAGGAGACTTTGTGAGAAAAGTGTTGTGGAGTGGCCCAGAACCGCAGCTGCTGAGCCCTGGTTCTGGCAGAACTTGAGAAGTGTTGTAAAAGTGGATAATCAAATTATGTACAGTGAAACTTACAAAAGGTTTTTCAGCAGCAAGTAGGGATTAAGGTAATAATTCTTGAGAATAACCTCGTAATTGTTTGAGCATTTTAAACATGTCATTATTTGGTACATGTCATTGCGAATGCACAGCACTTTTGAAGTGATGAAATGGAGATAGTACTGTACATGACCATGTTTTCATGTGTAGGTTAAAGAGGGTGGCTGTCAAAGGCAATAAGTATTTTATATCAAGAAATAAACAAATATGTAATCACTGACTGAGTTTACTTCATGTTAAACCATACACTGAGCTAACCTTACACAAGTGACCTAAAATAGTTTCTGTACATTTAATTTGTCCATTGTTCCTGTTCTGCATTAACAATGGAAACAATTTATGATGTTACTGTAGCTCATCAGACAGACCCATATATTTCAATTTCAATTCAGTATTTTTAATTTGTATAGTATAAATTCACAACACCGGTTATTGTACTGCGCTTTATAAATACAAATTATCCTTATTATCAAAGCGTGCGGTAAAATTTGTTTCATTTTTTAAAGTGGTCATTTTCTGTTTTAGAAAACCAAGAATTGCATTGAGTCATTGACATGCAAAATATCAGACTGGGGTAATAGGGTTGTCATCATGATGAGTGTTTCAGGTTTGAGTTTTTGCACAGCTTGTGTCCTACCTGCATTACCGCCATAGTCCACAAGGGGTCGCAAGAGCGAAAATTATAAAAACCTGCCATCCTACCCATAAATTCTTTCATTAGACTTCTTCATGGTGTTTTTTGTCTTCTGCGTGAAGAAACATCTAGAACTACGACGATTTGCACAACTTTGTGACGTCTGGAGAAACTCACCGGACTTTTAATCACATAATGAGACGCAGCTTGTGGTGCTAAATTAATACTCTTTTTTTTTTTTTTTCCCGTCCAAAAAGACACCGCTTACTTGTCAGAGCTTATGTTACGATATGGATATGTTATTCATTTGTTTCAAACAATCCTAAATAATATAAATAATTTAAAACCAAAAAAATGTGATTGGTTGGCAGACGCAGAGTGGGCGTGACGTCACAGTTTATTAACATACCGGGCGGTATTTATTGAATGAACGAGCCGTTTATCCTCACTCTGTTCCTGTGACTTTGAGGATTTTGTTTCGGTGTATCTACTGTGCCTACACGCTTGGTAAGTGACTTTTTTTTTTTTTTTTTTTTGTTTTTCTGTGTGTAGAATTTTCTTTTAGATTTTTGAAAAAGAACTTTGTCCTTAATTTGCTCCTTTTTCTTTTTGAACAATTCTGTGTGGTATTGTGACTGAAGCCATGTCAAATAAGTAGACTCTTAAGCCAGGTGTGTGAGCTGGAAGATTGTCAGACTTTGGTTAACCAGGGTGCAGCTTTACTTGGAGGTGTTTTGACTTAATTACTAAAATGATGACTGTGTGTTTTAGTGCTTTTTGCAATCATGTCTGACAAACCCGACATTGCTGAGGTTACGACCTTCGACAAAACCAAGCTGAAGAAGACTGAGACACAAGAGAAGAACACACTGCCAACTAAAGAGAGTAAGTTCTACTCAAATTAACTTTAATGTGTGCCTTTTGATTCTGAGGTTAACTCCAACTTGTTACTCTGTTCCAGCCATTGAACAGGAGAAGGCGGAGTCATCATGAAGACCGGTCTCCCATGTGTTGCACATTCCACAAGTGTCGCTGACTTGAACCACTTCACGATTGCATTTTGTCTTCCTGCACTTGCTAATTCATAGAAATGTCTACAAATTCCACCAGATGTAAAGAAAATGGCTTCACTTTAGCATGGGCTCATCCCCTTGAAACCCTGCAGTGGAATGATTGCAAGATGGACTTGCACTTCATGATCATTGTTGGCCTTTTTTGGCCAATTCTGAATACTCACTAAGCAAGGTGTATCGTGTAAACCTTTGCATGCACAAGTTTCAAAATGTAAAATAAAACAAACTTGAATAAATGTGGTGTACAGGCTTGTTTGCATGGCAATGTCCCAAACTGGATTTCAATGGAAATCCAGATGTGTAAACTTTCTACAAACTGCTAATTTTTCAGTATTAACTGATTATCTCAAAGCCTGAGGAATCTGCTGCTACTAAAGGTCACATTAAAAATTTTGGGTTTTTCCAAACCTGACTGCCCAGTGGGAAGGCTTGAAAATGGTCTGCAATGCTGTGTGGAAAGGTAACGTTAACTGCAGCAGTGAAAACTTAATTTCTATGGTGCGGTTCCTTTTATAACAAACCTCGTGACCTTCTCAAATTCAAACTATCAACTGGCTTGACTACCAATGGAAACCTAAATTTTACTCTGAATGTTTCACTATGTATTTAAGTGAAAACTGCACCAGGATTAAGTTGAACTGTAGGCATATTACTAAAATTTATCTTGGGTCCTTAACTGGCATTCATCAGATCTATCAGCGAAGGCTGTGAAAACACTACTTTGCCTCATTTTCCACACTGAAGAATCGGTACATAGGGCGATTACATCATGCTCTTTGTATTCACTAACAGCTGTGAAAGAAGGTGCTCTAACAAAATGGAACATAGGGCATTTTTAGTTTGAGAAAATATTTATCTGTAAAACTGGAACAATGTATAATTAACACATGAATATCTTGCTGTTTAAGTGTAGTCTGGTCAGACAATGGTACCTCTATCCAACAATTTAATTTCTCAATTTAATTTGTAAACAAATCAGTCTTTCTGTTTATGCCAATATTGCATGTGTGACACTTTATCCAATGATCATGTGTGAACCTGCTAACACCAATGCAAAGAAATGCAAATGACTGAAACATGATGCATTGAGATGAAATTGGTAGTGTGTGCTAAGACTCTATGTGCTGTCAATCTAACAATCAGCTTCTGTAACAGAAAGAACCTCAACACAAAGAATGCTGATGCTTCTGTGGCTGCATATGGGTGCTTACAGTACATAATGTGCGTCGAGAAAAGGATCCGAGTGGTACCACTCAAATGGCTCTTATAATGTAAATAACTGAAGGGCTAGAATAATCTGTAGAAGAGCTAAGAGGTTATGATTTATAGCCAGCTTCTCAACTTTGAAACATTTGAAATTTATGTGTTAAAACAATCTTGAACTTAAAAGGTGGCATTTTGAAATAAAAGGGACGGTTCAAGTTACATGTTACTGTGCTTTATCAAGTACCTGCTTATGCATTCTATAGCTTGCAGGCTTTGTGAATGTCTGTGCTTTTTTTTCAAAGGCCACGCTGCCAGTGCTAAACAGAAGCTACAGTTGACTAATTCGTGGGAGGAAGTGATGTTACAGCAGAACTGCACAACTGCCAGAACTCATCTTTGAGTCTGTGCTGATTTCTGATCTTTGGATTGATTTTGTCTCCCTTCCCCCCCAAGATCACATTAGTTCTTGAAATACTACGACAATTGCACAAAAAAAAAAAAAAAAAAAAAAAACTTCTTTCACGCACTTTTTTGAGTTTAGTAAAAAATCAGATATGCTTTGATGCTTCCGGAAAAAAGAAGTCTTCAAATTCCTTGATTTTGATTTTAAATAAGAAACAAGAAAGTAAATCAGAAACGAGGCAGAACAACGTTTTTTTAACGTTTTTTTTCAAACTGAATCAACTTGATAAACACTCTAACTTCGAACTTCCTGACAAGGTAACAAGGCTCACAATTTATAATACACTAACGAAATATTTGTGGCGCAGAACCCTTTGCTAAATAAAATTGGAAGTTCACACACATTTCACTGATATTTTGTTCCATTAACTGTATGACTTGGGTCAAATGCTTTGAGTTTCCTTTAATTAAGTTTGGCCAGGAAGTGAGAGGAGGGAGTGGGAAGTGAGATATTATTGGTGTGGATCTTTGTGTAGTTTAAAGGGGGGTGTAATTATAGAGCAACCATGCAAGAGAGAAAAGGAGACTTTGACAGCAGCTTAGTTTGTGAGAAGTTCTGCTAAGAAACAAATTAAAATGTATTTGATTTTTACGAAAATCATTTGTATCTGTCTGTACATTAGAGAGCACTAACATATTAACTCTTTGCAGTCAAACATCTGTCTTTCTGAAGAAAGCTGCAGAATAGCAGATAATTCACTAACATCAATATTGACAAAGTATGCCACCATTGCAGACAATAAAGATTTTTCTTACTCGAACTTTTCACATGTCATGTTGAGCAACTAGTGCCACTGATTGTTAAAACAGCTTGATTGTGAATTTGTGGGAGCTCAGAAGTTTCACAGGTACACAACAGGATGTGGTTATAGAGCTGCAGAATCACACTGTTCATGCAGTGTGACTCTTCAGTTTAATTAAGCACACAGAAAAAGACAAAAGTTCTAGACTAAAGGTCAGTTTTAGATTCTGTTGATCTGGTTCTTCATTATTTAAATACTACTTCTGAGTTTTTGAAGAGCTCAGAAGATGAAAAGTATCACATCCTAAACCAGCTGTACTATTTTTATTCAAAATGTGTTTACTGTTTGGAACAATGCTGTGACATATCCAATAAGGTTATAAGAAAATAAAACCCTCATTTCAAAATCTGTGACATTATATAGGTATATCATTCATTTGAGAATGCTTCTTAATTTAGTTTGCTTGCACAATGCCTGTATTCTCCCCGCTTGAAATTCTTTACCGTAATAGAAAAACTGAATGGTGATAAATCATCAGACTTCAACACATAAATCTGTTAGTTGATACAGGTTGCACAATTAAAGCTGACTGTGGAATTTGATTAGCAAACTTTTCTGCTTTAGTCCTGATCGTAAGCACAAGTCTCCACTTGGTATAGCAAGTATTGCCAAAGTGCAGCTATTTACAATTGTGCACATTAACTCTGGTCTCAAAAATGTCTGTCTGCTTGTTCTAATTTAACTGAAGTTAGGCCATTCTAATCTGTCAACATTTACAGTCCATGCACAATTCTGCATCGATGTTGACAATTGTGGAAGAATTGTGTGAATATGTGTACAGCTTAAAGTGGGTCAGTGTATGCCATGAAGACAAAGTAAGGTTATAGTTTGTGAACTGTGACTTCTGCTATTTTGTGACAGTTTCCCTATTCCCCAGGCGGGCTTCTCCACCATGCTTCTCACTTATGACACAAAAGCCTCACTGACTTCTAAATGCAGCATTATGGAACAAACAACCATTTGTTTATGTGCATAAACAAATGTAACTATGCAACCTTCCGATCTATAACTACAGTGTAAAATGTCAAGTCTGGGTATTTATTACCCAGCTGCAGAGCGTAACTGGAAATTAAATCTTTCATTTACAGCTGACAACAGAGCTCTCTAATAACAGTACAGACATTATTTAGACTTGTCCAAAGTTAAAGCAATACCAGCATGTCCTATCCTGTTAGGCATGCACTGAGGTGAGGTAGGGTCTCTTCTTAGGGACATGGCTGTGCAATTACACCCCATACAAACTTATTTAATGAGGAGGGAAGTTGGTTAACTTTACCTTTCCACACAGTATTGCAGACCATTTTCAGCCCTTCCCACTGAGCAGTCAGGTTTGGTTTTTGAAAAAACCCAAAATGTTTAATGTGACCTTTAGTCACAGCAGATTCCTCAGGCTTTAAGTTGAACATATCAGTGAATACTGCAAAATTGGCAGTTTGGAGAAAGGGCACCTTTAAACTCTGACCTTTAAGGCTCAGTGAAAACAGAACCTCTTTCAACATCAAACAGGAACCTAAAGCCTCACTGTAAACCTATCCAGTTCTGTCAGAAGTCTTTATTATTACTGAGGCACTTGCACTTAACTGTGGATTCAAAATAAAACCTTCCAAGGAAACTAAAGATGGTTGAAATTACATCTTGTGTTTGACATCAAGAAAATACACAGAGAAAATCTGGCAAGTTTGCAATGTTCCAGTTCTTGAAGTAACTCCAAATCAGGCAGTTGTTTTCAGTGAGATTTAGACATGGTCGTTCTAAAACGTGAATGTATTTTGATCTAAGCCATTACATTGTAGCTCTGGCTGTACAGTTAGCCTCATTACTGAAAGCCAGGTTAATGACTGCTCTCGTATCAAATCTCCCAGTACTGCCCTGTGTTTAGCTCACTTCACCTTCACATTTACTCTTGACTTCCCGGTCTTTGCTGAAGAAAAGTATCCAGTGTAGCGATAGCAGTGGCCCAGGAGGAGTATTCTTGTTGTTTCAAACTGCCATTTTTGTCTAGGACACAGAAGTTGTGTCCTTGTGCAAGACATTTCACCTTTCTTCCCTGCTGGTGTTGATCATAGGACCCAATGGTGTCAAATGGAGGCTGCATTTCTTTCAGTCTGCCCCAGGAAAGTTGTATCTACAATGTAGCTTATCACCATAGTGTGTTAATTTGTGGATGAATGATAGTAGGGTAAAACAGTTTGAAATCTTCGGATAAGATAAAACACTGTATGAATGCAGGTTGTTTACCATTTTATTTCCACATAAAAGTACTGAATTTAATAAAGTTTACTTGTATTTACTTCTCGTCTTCAATAAAGCTCAGAACTGAATATAACTAGATGCACTTTTGAGAACTATTGCATTTTTTTTCCATCAATTTACATTAATGCACTGCAGTTTGTTGGTATAACACTTAAAATTCAAATATAGCACAACGAGACATGACAAAAAGTCAAAAAGTTAAAGTATCTTTTGATGCCCCTAACACCTTCCTAGCCTGCTGGAAGTAGTAATGATTTTTACATCAACCTTCTTTTGTTGCCTGGAGTTTCCCAATCCACTCCAGAGGCAGACTTGCTAGAACTGCACGTACATTATTAATATGGATAAAATGTGAGGTATCATGCTGGGGTTGAACAAATACTTTAATCTCTTAACAGTCTTAAAAAAAGTGTCTGGAAATGAAGGCCTGAGTACCCTGGTCTGTCTGCACATTGTGCGTTCTGTAAACTAACATTCATGAAATGATATTCCATCTGGAGATCAACTAATCT